GAAAAGGCAGAAGTCTCCTTGCTGATGTGGCTCAGTGGTTGAGCACTGACCCATGCACCAAGAGGTCACCAGTTCGATTCCCAGTCAGGGCACGTGCCCAGGTTGTGGACCCGATTCCCCAGTGGGGGGTATGCAGAAGGCGTCCAATCGATGTTCTATCATTGGTGTTTCCTTCCCTTCCTGTGTCTCTAAAATCAATAAAGCAAAATTATTAAAAAGAAAAGGCAGAAGTCGTCTCTTCTGGAGAAGGTAGAACAAAAAAATGCATCATAATTATCTTCCTTAAGCTTAACACATGAAGATTTCTCAACTGAGTGTAATTCAGTTTCTTCCAAATTTTTCTTTTTACTGTTATCTAAAGTACAACAGTTAGTAAGCATAGGTGATTTTAATAGTAGTGAGTGAAATATGATTTATGTAAAACTTATTTCCACAAATATTATCTAATATTGTTAATCCTTTTTCCTAAGATATGTTATAAAAGTAGATCTCTGTTAGAGATAGAATGGGAAGGAGGTTGTAACTATCAGCTAAAATGAAAATTTTTTGTTTTCCATAGATTTTGGCTGTCCTGTCTTCCAGTACCCCAGTAACTTTAAGGTGGCCCAAGCTGTACATTATCTCAGGCAATAGCTCAACAGTATCACAGTTTGTTCTACAAGGGAAAAATATGCTTGGTAAAAGTATTCTTTTTGGTTGAAACTAGATAATTATGAAGCATGGTGTCTTGCTGGTGAACCATTGCTCTTATTGGTGGTGCTCTTCCTTTTCCCAGTTTTCCCCTTGGGTATAGAATTATGTTATTTATTTCTTTTTTGGATTTTCATTGTACTTTGATTATTTTTGCCCACTGAACTCCCTGTCTAGTTTCTATTTATTTTTTAAGCCCAAGCCAGGTATCATTTTTCTGCAAGCCCTTTTCCAATAATCCCTTCCCTTAATGTCTTTTGTGTTTATTTTAGCATGGGGGGAAAACCAGGTCATCTTGCTATTCAAATGAGCCTCCGCTAGTTAAAGATTATATATTTCAAATGTCAAAACAATTTATTGACCAAAAAATAGCCTTATTACTTTGGGCACAGTTAGAACAGTGTTCCATCCCCTTTGCCACCCGTATCCCCCCAAATATTATGATTAATGCAAAGTACATAACTGTACTGAACTTTTCCCCCTGTCTCTTTTAGGATCATGGCTGCTGTTCTTCAAAATAATATACAGGAGCAACTGGAGCATCATTCAGGCAGAAAACTTAACAATAAATTAAATCTTTAAAAACCAAAATCTTCGTAAGTCTTTTGGTGGTTTTGTTGTTATACAGGTACTAATATATATTATCATTAAAATGAGATATCTGCTCTTTTCACCCTTTTATTATATAGATGAGGAAATAAAGCTTTGGGGTCAGTGATTTTCCCACTTTGCAAATTAATGGTAGAACATGTGTTAGCAGCACCAGGTAATAAATTGTTCAGCACTTTCGCACTGTTCCTGGCATATAACATTTGCTCGGTAAAAATTTGTTGAGTAAATGAATAATGAATCTTTTTGTAAATTTGGGCAAATAGGTATTTTTAGTATTTTAATATAATTTTATATCTTTTCCAAAAACAATTTATAAGGAAACGATAGCTGTCTGGTTTTGATCTTTTCTCCAAGCTATACTCCAAATTCATAATGATATCTAGTAATAACTTACGTTCCTTATTGTGTTCCTTATTGTACCCTTATGAGGTTCTAGGCACCCTCTGGGTGTTTGACTTTAAAGTCACCATTCACGCCCTGGCCGGTTTGGCTCAGCGGTTAGAGCGTCCATCTGCGGTCCGGAGAGACCCGGGTTCGGTTCCCGCTAAGGGCATGTACCTCGGTTGCAGTTTGTCCCCGGCCCTGGTTGGGTCGTGCGGGTGGCAGCCACTCGATGTGTCCCTTTCACATCGATGTTTCCCTCTCTCTCTCTTCCTCTCTCTCCCTCCCACTCTGTCTGTGCAAAAAATGGAAAAATGTCCTCGGGTGAGGAAAAAAAAAAAAAATAAAGTCACCATTCACTTTTATGTCACTAAATCCAGAGATGTCTAAGACTCTTGCTTCTCCTCCAAATCTCAGTATAGTGAGCAGTTTTTAAATTTTCCCCCATAAAACTTTGATCAGATTAGTAACAATAGCCAAATTTGAGTCTCTTCTTTTGTTCACTTATGCCGTCTTCTCCCTCTGGAGGTGCTATTAATTAAGGACTACCAGCCTGAGAAATAAAGTAGTGGGAATGGCCTGGATACTCTCAAAACTGATTAGCCGCTGAATAGGAAGGATCAGAGCATACAAAGTATAATCTTAGTAACCTTATAAATTTTAAAATTGGAGAAGGGGATAGAAGGTAAGTTGTATAAATCAGTAAAAAAAAAAAAAAATTTAGAGTTTTGTGTAGTTGATGGGTTTGTTAAAATTTATCTAATTCAGGTATTTAATTTTTTCCAGTGGTTTCACTTTTAAAAAGAAAATATCTTCAGCCAACAATGTGTCTGTGACTAATGTGTCAGTAGCAAAAACACCTGTGTGAAGTGATAAAGATGTTAATATTGCTGAGGACTTTTCTTTCAGGGAAACTTTACCCCACACCATGAATCAACAGACTTTAAAAATGCTGCTGCAGGACAGCAAACCAAGAGAGTTGGTTCAAAACCATTATTGCCAGATTTGACACAGATTCCACAAGAAGTTTTAGATACTACCCAGAGCACACTGATTATAAAGGATTCTCGAAATGCTACTTTCAAGAAATTAGAATGTAGTTCTTCATCAGATTCTTTTATTACCATCAATGATTGGGATGATATGGATGACTTTGATACTTCTGGGAATTCAAAAGTATTTGTTACACCACTCAGAAATCACTTTGTAAGAGTAAGCACTGCTCAGAAATCAAAAAGTTCTAAGAGAAACTTTTTTAAAACACAGCTTCATAAAATACAGTAAAGGCTAATTTGACTTCCTCCTCTGAATGCAAGCAAATATATTTGATGAAGGAACAGAAGGCTGACTCTGAATGTTTAAGTAGTGATGTGATTTGTATTGATGATGACCCCAATTCCAGAGAGCTTACAAATGAAGATACTCAGGATAGTCTTTAAAAACTCATTTGGGAGAGGAAAGAGGTAAACATTATTTTATTTTCATTTCAGTTTATCAATTGTATTCATTCATTCAAAGCTAGGCATTGGAACAGTAGCAAATATAATACAGCTTTTGTCCTTAGGATCTTTAGAGGTGCTTATTGAATAATCTGTTGGCCACATGCTTGAGGCAGGACATACTAATGAAATGAAAGATTTAATTTCTGCTAATGTAATTTTTATATGAACACCAAGGATAGCTCTGTGATGTTTACATACAAAAAAAATAAGGTTCATAGAGGTTAAAGTGACCTATTAATGTCTGCTGGCTGGTAAGTGGTAGAATTGAGAAGTAAAGCCAAGCCTTTCTATTATAATTCCTTTATGCTGTATAATATGATTTAATCATGCTATTATTAAAGTATAAATTACATTCAAATTATTTTATGTTTAGGTGTCATAGTTATTAGATATCCAGAACTTTTGTTTAAATATGTTTTTATTGGTTTTTTTAGAGAGAGAGCAACATCAACATGAGAGAGAAACATTGATCGGCTGCCTCCTACATACCCCCTACTGGGATCGGGCCCATAATCCCAGAATGTCCCCCAACTGGAAATTGAACTAAGACCTCTCAGTCCATGGGACAATACTCCATCCCTTGAGCCACACTGGCTGGGCTAGATGTCCAGAACTTAATAGCTAAGATTTGCCATATGTGGAACTACCTACTTTATGAAATAGTTGTAAATATGAGACTAACATTTTTAAACATCTGAATCCCATTAAGGTTATTGTAGGGTGAGAGAGGACCGAAAGCGATTGATAATAAGCAGAACTATTGTCTGACCAAATGAGTTGCTGTTTATGAAGAGACAATTTGGTAAAAGGTAAACTAAAGAGAAACTATTGGGCATTGTGTTCTTTTCTTGTACTCAGGAGAGAGAGACTGAATCTGGTAGACTTAAATCACTAGGAAGACTTTGTGATAAAGTAGAAATAATTTATCTATACAAACAATAGTGCTTGTACAGTTATCAGACTAATTTGTTGCACTTTACCCTCATTTATTTATTTATTTAATCCTCACCCAAGGACATTTTTCCATTTTTGTTCAGATAGAGTGGGAGGGGGAGAGAAAGAGAAACATCAACATGAAAAAGACACATCGAGTGGCTGCCTCCCACATGACCCTAACCAGGGCCAGTGACGAACCATACCGAGATATACGCCCCCAACCAGAATTCAATCCTCGACTCCATAGTCCTTGAGGTGACACTCTAACCACTGAGCCAAACCGGCGAGGGTGTGCTGGACCCTTATTTAAATATGAATAAAAGATATAAAAACATAAATGCTAAGTGGGAGTTTCATAATTTAATTGGAGACAATCATGAAAATCCTTAAGCAGATATTTGGCTTCAGTCCAGTATTCATTGGACTGACTCCAGTTGACTCAATAATCACTTATGAAGAAACAAGCCACCCTGGCCAGTTTGGCTCAGTGGTTAGAACATTGGCCTGTAGACCAGAGAGTCCCAGGTTAGGTTTCCACTAGGGGCATGTACCTGGTTTGTCCCCACACACCGGTTGGGGTCATGTGGGTGGCAACCACTCAATGTGTCTCTCTCACATCGATGTTTCTCTCTCTCTCTCTCTTCCTCCCTCTCTCCCTCCTGCTCTATCTGAAGATAAATGCAAAAAATGTCCTCGAGTGAGGATAAAAAAACAAAAAGAAACAAGCCAACATTAAGGTGGGAAAAGAGAGGGCTCACAGAGTGGTGTTACTGTTTATGACTTGCCCGAAGCACTCAGTCTTCAGTGCTCATACTCTGTTCTTTCTGTCTCGTTAATTGTTAAAATATCCTATGTTTATCAACTGTTTACTTTAGATAATAATGAAAAGGATAAAAACTTGAAAGAAATGGAATTACGTTCATTTGAGAAATCTCCATGTGTTGAGCTTGATGAAGATGATTACAATATAGATTTTGTTCCACCTTCTCCAGAAGAAGGAATGACTTCTGCCTCTTCTTTCTCTTTAAAATGCTTTAGGTAAAATAGCTGATAAATTAATAAGCATAATTGTTTTGGGGGTATTCTGAAATAATTTAGTTATGTAATATCATTTCTGTATAATATCATGTTCTGCACAGTTCATTTTATATCCAAGTGAAAGCTTCAAAAAGTCCCTATTGATACATTTTATTTAATTGGTAGTATTCTAAAACTATAAAGTTCCAGCTTTAGAATACTACCAAAATTGTAATCGCATGAGATCTCCAAACAATTTCATGTAGTTGATTTTATCAGGAGGAATATATGACACAGCTAATTCCTTATTTGGAAAATGACTTAGTAAGTGATATGTACCCCCCCCCCCCTTTATATTCTACAGGATAGACTTGGCTATTGTATTTGACATTCACTGAATTTTAATAAATTAGGAACATGATAGTGGTTAATTGGTAGTGTTATAGGAAAAAATACATAGTCGACACAACTCTTCAATAGCTTAAAATACTAGTTAATAGTCATTGTTACATCCATCCTCACCCCAATCTAAATTACAGTCCAGTTGAGTGGTGGTGTATATACTGCACTATTAACCAGTATTTTGATAAGTAGATCCCTACAGTATATTACCTTAATTAGGGAAGTAATGCAGGAAGGAGGTGTTTGTGTGTATAATCTAGTTTCTCTGGGTTTGTGTTTTAACAGGTGTGTTGGGATGTTTGAAGAGGCAGGAAAGGTTGAGACATGATTACTATTTGATGACAAAACTAAAAAACTATTATCAGCTGCCCTTTCACCTCTCTTCCAATAGAAATTCAGAATTACACAAAGTAAAAAACTGAGCAGGAGTTCATAATAGAGTCTGGATTCTAAATCAGCATCATCATTTAGCAGGTGAAACAGTTAAGGCCCAGGGAAGAGCAGGGAATGGCCCAGGATGATAAAATTAATGGCAGATGGACTAAGATCCAGCGTAGTGCTATTTCCTGGCCTTTTTTGTTTGTTTATTTAAAAAGTGCATATTGCACAAATAACACTGTAACCATTTTAACAGGATTCTTACTTGTTGTCTCAACATTCCAACAAACCAAACATTTTCTTTATCCATGTTTGGTTTTGATTCTTCTCTACATGTATATGATTTTTGCATTGCTGTAATTATCATGTAACCAAATTTCTATTCTGCTTTTCTTTTTAAAATTTATTGATTTTAGAGAGAGAAAGAGATTCATATTGATTTGTTGTTCCATTTATATATGCATTCATTGGTTGATTCTTGTATGTGCCCTGACTGGGGACCGAACCCACAACCTTGGCATATCAGGACGACACTCTAACCAACTGTACTACCCAGCTAGGGCCTCTGCTTCTTTTAGTATTACAGTATTTTTAAAACATTTTCTGCCTGGCCAGTGTTGCTCAGTGGTTGAACATCAACCCATGCACCAAGAGGTTGCCGGTTCGATTTAGGGCACATGCCCAGGTTGTGGGCCAAATCCCCAGTGGGGGCAAGCAGAAGGCAGTCAGTCGATGTTTTCTCTTATCGCTGTTTCTCTCTCTCTCTCTCCCTCTCCCTTCCTTTCTCTCTAAAATCAATAAAGAAAATTTTTTTTTCCGTATTGCTATATAGGCTTTATTTTTTATTCCACTTAATGGCTATATAATTTATTGAGTTATCATGCCATAATTAACTTTACCTAGATCTTCAGCATGACCAAAATTGTATTTCCAAGATGGATTCTCTCAATGTTTTCCATTGGAACCTTGTATACATATTTGTATATATTATAAAACAAATAGAAATTTCACAAATGATACACTTTTGTGCAGAGTACAAGTAAAGTGTACTATCTTTTGTTTTAAAATGCTGGTTGTGACTTCAGAACTCTAATGGTCAGGTAATGTATAACATGTTCTTGTAGTTCCTTTTATTCATAAACCTCTTGAGTTGGCCCTCAAAATCTTTCATCTTCAGGCCCCGACATACCTTTCAGCTTTATCACTAGTTACGGCCTTACAATAGCCTAAGCCCTCAAGAGCCTAATGAGACAAATTGGAAAACATGGCTAAAATGTAAGGCCCATTCTTTGAATATAATATATTATTTTATATGATTTATTCTAACTAAATCAGGATTACATTTCAAAGTCCCATTTTAGAAAAAGTATACATGATTCTTGTATATCAAGTGAATAGAATTATCTTTTTTTAATCTCTTCTTCATAGCTTGTCACTTTTTATATCCAACTTTCAAGGTTTCCTCCAATTCTACCCCTTTGCAAAGCCTTCTCACGTTCCAGAATGTGTTATCTTTCTTTGGATTACCACCGTACCCTCTAACAATTTCACTTTTTTTTTTTGATAATCCTCACCCAAGGATATTTTTCCATAGATTTATTTATTTTTATTTATTTTTTTATCCTCACCCGAGGACATTTTTTAATTTTTTGTTCAGATAGAGTGGGAGGGGGAGGGGGAGAGAGAGAGAAACATCGATGTGAAAGGGACATATCAAGTGGTTGCCACCTGCACAACCAACCAGGGCTGGGACAAACTGCAACCGAGGCATGTGCTCTTAGCGGGAACCAAACCAAGTCTCTCTGGACTGCAGGCCGACACTCTAACTGCTGAGCCAAACTGGCCAGGGCTCTATAGATTTTTTTAGATAGAATGGAAGGGAGGGAAGGAGAGAGAGAGAGAAAGAAACATTATGTGAAAGAGACAATATCAAGCCCTGGCCGGTTTGGCTCAGTGGTAGAGCGTCCGCCCGAGGACCAGTGAGTTGCAGGTTCGATTTTGGCCAAGTGCATGTACCTCGATTGCGGTTCGTCCCCTGCCCTGGTTGGTGTCATGCGGGAGGCAACCAGGTCGATGTGTCCTTCTCATGTCAATGTTTCTCTCTCTCTCTCTCTCTGAAGATAAATAAAAAAATATCCTTGGGTGAAGATTTTTTTTTTTTTTTTATCCTCACCCAAGGACACTTTTCCATTTTTTGCACAGATAGAGTGGGAGGGAGGGAGGGAGAGAGAGAGAGAGAGAGAGAAAGAGAGAGAAAAACATCGATGTGAAAGGATCACATCGAGTGGCTGCCACCTGCACGACCAACCAGGGCTGGGGACAAACTGCAACCGAGGTACATGCCCTTAGCGGGAACCGAACCAGGGTCTCTCCGGACCGCAGGCCAACACTCTAACCGCTGAGCCAAACTGGCCAGGGCCTTGGGTGAAGATTTAAAAAAAAAAGAGTACGGGACATATCGACTGGTTGCCTCCCATACAACCCCAACCAAGGATCCAACTTGCAGCTCAGGTACGTGCCCTTGACTGGGAATTGAACCTGTGACCCTTTGGTCCTTGAGCCACACTCTAACCACTGAGCCAAAATGGCTAGGGCTGTTTGTTACTTTTACAGTATTTTTTATATCCAGTCAGACTGACCATGTTAATATCGTCTTGTATTATCTGTATATGTTAGTTATATGTATAGAAACACACATAGACATGTTGGTATATGAGAAGTCTGGATAAAATGCTTTGGAGTCTCAGAAGAAAGAGATGTCAATAACCACTTGCTGGAGAAATCAGAAAAGTAACATTTGAGTTGGGCCTAAAAGAACAGGTGTAATTTGGATAAGAAGAGATTGGAATGGTGATTTTTTCATAGAAGAGCAGAGGCAAAATTTCTGAAGTAGACAATGCAGGACTTATGTGAAGAATGTAAATGATGCCCTGGCCAGTTTGGTTCAGCAGTTAGAGCATCAGCCTGGGGACTGAATGGTCTCAGATTTGATTCCTGGTCAAAGGCACATACCTGGGTTGCAGGCTCCATCCCCAGCTCTGGTCAGGGACATGCAGGAGGCAACCATTCGATGTGCTCTCTCACATCAATATTTCTCTCTCACCCTACCTCCCTCCCTTTCTCCCTCTCTTCCTTTCACTTTATCTAAAAATCAGTGGAAAAATACCCTCATTGAAGATTAACAACAACAAAAGAATGTGAGTGATGCACTGCAATTAAAGCCTGGGATTATTGGAAGGACATAATTGGAGGTCAAATTGAAAGGGTCTCTTGGGTCAGAAGATGAATGACATTGATGGCCAGCTAAAGAGGTTTTAGAATAAAGATATAAAAAGAGTTTCTCTTTTCTGTTACTATTGTCTGACCAGTTGTGGAGAAATAGTAGAGGAAAAATGCATTTGATCTATTCTATACTTTGATTGGTTGTATATTTTTAAATTTGTAGTATGTTAAAGGAGCTTGATGCCTGTGACAGAAAGAAGGATGGCCTAAGCACGCCAGAGGACTTCTCAAAGCTTGAGAAAATGCCTGCTCAGCAATCTAACCACGAAACTGGCACAGACTCTGATGGTACAAAAAGTATTTTAGGCATATCACATATTTTAACTACTTTTGAAAACCAGGTAAGATTATATTTTTACCTGTGGTCGTATACTATAAGATGGCAAATTTATAGTTCCTTTTGCCCTAATGTACAGTCCTATTCATTGGTTAGTCGTCATTTGCTCAAACAACTTATAAATTCATGTTCTCACAAGGTAATTCATTCTCTATTTTGAAAATGCTACTTGTTAGAACATTATTTCTCATATTGAACCAAAACCTGCCTTTCTATAACTTAATCTTTGTGAGCTAAGTCTAAAGCTCCCAGAAGCTTTTTTTTTTTTTTTTTTTTAAGGCTACATATTATTAGGTCTTTTAACTCTTTTTATAGATATTGGTTTCTAGACATCATCCTTGTTCTCCTTGTTTGGGTCTTAACATTTAATACTTTTTTGTTTGTTGAATTTGTTTCTTAATTCATTAAAATTTTTCTATTAAATATCTAGTATAACTAATCCAATAGTGCTATAAGGCGGGAAACAACAGTCTCTTTTCTCACTCCTAATTTCTACTTCCTGGAGGCTCCTTTGTTGTAGAAACTTGTATCCTTCTATTTTGGAAGTTTTACTGGTATTTTCTTCTTTTCTCTTTCAGCTTTCCTGGAACTTCTATTGGATGTTAGGGTCCCATTAATTAACTACCTATTTTCTATTTCTTGCTTGTCTGCTTTCTGGGAGATTTCCTCGATTTTATATTAACTCTTCTATGGAACTTTTCATTTTTATCAAGCCAATTTCCAAGCGTTCTTTTTATTCTCTGAATATTTCTGTAACACATTCTATACTTGGTTGATGGATGTTGTACATACAGTGTGTGTGTGTGTATGCACACACATATGCAGTAATTTGTGTGTTTTTTCTGTTTGCTTCAAATATATTTTTGTTTATTAAGTGCCTTATAGTATTAACTAACTTAACCCTTAGAGTGGTCCTTTAAGGTATCTTCTATTATCTCTATTTTACTAATATGGAAACTGAGATGCAGGAGAGTTAAGTAATGACACATGGTCATAGAATTAAACAGCGGCAGAGCTAGGATTCGAACTCAGCAATCTTGAGGCTCTTGAGTTTACACTGATAGCCTCTGCACTGTAATGTTTCTGCATCATTAAGTTTCAAAATGTTTGGCTAGAATAATGGCAAAAAGAGCCCTACAGAATGTTAGGGGACTCCCTCTCAGCTGACATCAGTCACCACTTCTTGTTTAAATAATTACAAATCTACTTTCAGACCATGTTTTTCTCCCTTGTCCCTGGGGGTGCAAAAGTCTTAGTCATATGACTACAGAACTTTAAGGTTCTGAGACACCAAGAGGGAACTGATGGGGAACTCTCTCTAGAGTGATGCAGACCTCAGATACAAGCCTATCTTGTCTTACTCCTGGTTGTATGGCTATGGCAAATTAGTTCATCTTCTCTGGTTCTCAGTTTCTATAAAACAGGGTGAATAATATTTAACTTGCTGAGTAGTTGTCAAGATTCAAGGTAAAGTACCTAGTGCACTGTAGGTCTTCAATTAATGGTAGCTATTATCTGCCAGTCCATTAATCCTTTCAAAGAATGAAGTACATTAAGAGGGCTGGTTTGTTTTTATGACCTCTTACTAATTCTATAATTGTTTCCTCTCCTTAGAGCTCACTAAGCAGCCATTTGATAACGTGTTCTAGAATTTTGCCTTGAATTGATATCAAGATCACCAGCTTTTAGCTTTGGGCACTCATTTTACAGTTTTTTGAAAATTAGAACAGTGTTTGCCTGTCTTCACTCTTTCATCAACTAGATGCTTCAGATATCATTGAAATCTTGTTTTCAGGTTTTCTTTTATTCCAAAGTGTAATCTGTCTAGACAAGGAGACTTGAGCTCCTTTCCAATGGCTATATTGCTCTCTGAGCCTGTCTTGGCTTTCATTTCCTTCAGACCATTGCTTATTCTCTTTCCAATCTGATGCCATTCTCTTTACAGAGAAAACAAAAGTAAAGTAGGAATTCAGCAATCCCACTTTTACCGCCTTATACCTCATGTTCCTATTTATATCAGTCACTAGTAAGAGTCCACACTTCCCAACTCATGCTCACACAGATACTTGTTCCCACATTGCTCTGTATACTCCCTAGTCTGTTCTCTCTTCCTCTTCTTTCTGCCCTTTAGACCTTTAAACTCACTGTGTTTGGTCAGCAATTTCCTCATTCTATTCTCTGAACATTTTCTTCCCTTTGTGTCTCTGATTGTCTCTTGGGAGTACAGTTTCCTCTGTAGCCCACCTACACTGCCTGTTTCTTCTGTATACCATAGGCCCTAAGGGTAGAGTAAGCATCTTACTTGCTTCCTTGACCCAACAACCCTCTGGTGCACAGGCTAACACTCTAATCACTGAGCCGTGCCAGCCAAGGCACCTGTGCAGCACTTTATAATACACTTTGGGTGGGCATGGTGGGATTTACTCCCTAAGTTAGTAAAAAAATTATAGTAAATTGATAAAACTTTTCTATCTTCCGACCCTGGTTACCCTAAGAAAAATATTTAGAATTAACATGAAATAAAACAATAACATAGTTATAAGCTCTCGTGATATAGAATAGAGACAATCTTATTTCAAATTATTTCACAGGCAGATAATAAGGTCAGTATACAGTTGTTCATAATCTTGTTTTTAAACTACTTCAGATTTTACATGCACAACTTTGAAAATCTTGTCTTTTTTGTTTTCAAGGACAAATATTAACACCATAATTTCTTTATAGCTACACATACAAGTTTGCAGCAGCAGCTTATTCGAGTGATGGACCACATCTGTAACTTAGTTGATACTATTCCTAATGATGAACTGAAAGCTTTGGATTGTGGGAATGACCTGCTTCAGCAGCGGGACATAAGGTATCTTGATTTTTCTCCTTCTGGAGTATATCTGACTGCATTTCCACCACTCTATATCAGAAACATACAGGGCAACATTTTTAACATTTTGAATAGGATAAATTGTCACTATGTTTTAATTTATTAACTTTTTCAAGCTGCTCCTTTAATATTTGTATTCAAATTTTTGAAATTGGAAAAAAAAAAAGGGTATATGTTGCTGCAATTTGGAATGAGAACTAAAGATATACTTGTGTGGCCTACCTTGGTAGACTACTCATACTTACTATGGTGTTGTGTATTTTTTCTTCAGAAGGAAACTCCTAGCTGAAGCAGATTTAAACACAAGTGATGTCAGTGTTTTCGGTTCAGTGTGGAGGTGCAGGCCTGATGTACTCCATCACCCCATGGAGGATATGGCGTCTGTTTCCTTGCCTTATGCATTTCCAAAGGTGATTTCTTCCCTACAAGGAATTCTGATAAGGAGTTAAATTTTTAACCCATTTCCTCAAATTCCATTTCTTCTGAGGACTGGTTAGTAATTACTACCCCAGGGAAGACAGGATTCTCAGTCACCAAGAAGAATCTCTTTGAAAGACCATTATTCAATTCCCATTTACAGAAATCCTTTGTAAGTAGCAAATGGGCTGAAACACCAAGGATAGAAAAAAGAAATGAAAACTCATTTTCCAGGAAATGTTCTTACAAGCACTGCTATAAAAGATCAGAATAAACATACTGCTTCAATAGATAATTTAGAGAGAGAAATCCAGGCTTCCTTTGAGATCGATAATTTTAACATAGATGACTTAGATGATGATGATGAGTGGGAAAATATAATGCATGACTTAGCAACGAGCAAATCTTCCACAGCTGCCTATCAACCTATTAAAGAAGGTCGACCAGTTAAATCAGTATCAGAAAGAATTTCTCCAGCCAAGTCAAACTGTCTTCCTGTGGTATCTACTGCTCAAAATAAAAACTTCTCAGAGTCATTTCAAAAATGTAAGTGTACATATTTTTTCAAATTCTGGATTGATAAAACCTGATCAATTTATCAAGTAGAGAAATGTGTTTTATGTCTTAAAATATTAAAATATAGGGCAGTCAAAGAAAGATTTGAAGTCAAAGTTGTTGTTTTAAAATCCTCACCAGAGGATATTTTTCTGGTGATTTTTAGATAGAGTGGAAGGAGAAAGGGGAAGAGGGAGAGAGGGAGACATCAATTGGTTACCTCCCATACAACCCTGACCAGGCTGGGGATTGAACCTGCAATCGAGGTATGTGTTTTTGACTGGGAATCAAACCCTTGTCACTTCTGGTCTGCAGGCCAGCACTCTAACCACTGAGCTAAACTGGCCAGGGCTGAAGTCAAAGTTCTTAAATCAATCAAATTATTTCTTTTGGCCTGGAATTCTTTTCAAATTCAATGCCTTAACCACTCAGCCATCACTGCTACTGGCCTGGAATTCTTTGAATTCATTCAACAAATATTTACTGAGTGCCCACTATATTCTGCTCTAGGTTCTGGTAATAGATGATAATGAATAGTTCCTTTCCTCTTGGAGCTCATAGTTTAGTGAGGGAAGTTTTTGGAGGAGTGAAATTAGCCACTATAAAGGCTGCAGAGAAAAGCCAAAAGTAATTTTATTTCGTTTTATATTTTATTTTTTTATTTTTTATCCTCACCCGAGGACATTTTTTCCATTTTTTGTTCAGATAGAGTGGGAGGGGGAGAGAGAGAGAGAGAAATATCGACGTGAAAGGGACACATCGATTGGCTGCCACCCGTATAACCAACCAGGGCCGGGAACACACTGCAACCGAGGTACTTGCCCTTAGCGGGAACCTAACCCGGGTCTCTCTGGACTGTAGGCTGATGCTCTAACCGCTGAGCCAAACTGGCTAGGGTGCCAGAACTAATTTTAAAATCTTACATCAATCCTATAAAATTATCATAAAATGTATTTTTTTTTAACTGAAACAAGTTTAGATGTACAAAGTTTTGTAAAGTACAGCCTTCTCTATTTTTGCTCTTGATGACTTAATACCACAGGGTGGTTCTTATAGTTAAGTTGTTGACCTTTAAAATAACTATTAATGAGTTTATTTTTGT